CACACACACACACACACACACACACACACACACACACACACACACACACACACACATTTCTCCACTGGGCGGGTGTGATTCCCGCCCTGCGCCATCCCTGTGCCATCCATCAGTCCGCAGAGTCGCGGGCAGATTTGGAACTGAAAAAGGGCCCAATACCCTTAGCTCATTTGGTGCACTCATAAACGGTTGAAATGCAGAGCTGAGTTCGAATCCAGATGGAACCAGATGAACAAAATTCCTGAAAAAAAGAAAAAGAAAAAAAACCTACATCATCATAATAATAACACAAGAATTACACGATGATATCTCCACTTCTCAAGGCTATTGCCCTTTAAAGTTTAAGCCCTTACTACCTCCGAGCCTGTTTTTTTTTTCATGAACTGTTGAACAGACCAAGTTCAAATCTCAATGGAACCACATGAGTGAATTGGGGCCAGACTGGGCCAGTCAGTTCCAAGATGATATCTCAAGGGTGTCACCCTTGTAACCCGGGTTTGGTGGGGGCATGAGCCCTGGTAGATAGATTTGGGGAATCGCAGAGGGTGTTTTCAGTGGCTATCCATGAGCTTCCAGCAGGACGATGCTGGCCGGAGCTGATGTGGGTTGTGCTGCTCTTAGGGGGGCCGCTCGGTTCGGGGTGTCCGTGTTGCCTGTGGGTTATAACGGATGCTCATCGGAGTGTCTCCCTGGCTCAGTGGGCGTTGGGAACCAACAGTCTGCGTGGTTCAATTGTGATGTGAGTATGTCATGTGGACGGCCTCGTCTGCGCTCCGCCGCTGCCCTCCTTCCTGTCCCGCTTGCTTCGCATGTGGTTCTTTGCAGGTTGATGTGTTCACTGTGTGGTGTGGCCGTGTTGTTGGTGTTGCCTTGCGCTTCGCTGCTCAGCTGCCTTGCTTCCCTTCCGCTGGTCATGCCTTCCGTGTTTGCTGCTCGCGGGCCTTGCTTGATGGTTGCCTTGCTGCTGATGCCTTGTGCTTCGCTCCACGGTTGCCGAGCTGCTGGTCCATTCACCCTCAGGCTGTCGTCCCTTGCACTGTGGTAACCGTTGCCTTGTTTGTGTTGTCTTGTGCTTCACTACACAGTTGCCGCGCTGCATGTCCTGCATGCCATGTCTTTCCTTGCAGTCGTTTTTGGCGTTGTGCAGCCGTGTTGCGTCTACCGTGCTGCCTGGTGCTCCACAGGGTCGCCGCCCGCTGCTATGTTCCGCTTGCAATGAGGACAGTCTGCCTTCAACAAGGGTCAAAGGGTTCACGACCCAAACCATCAAATACTGAGATTCCGCAGATTTTCGAGGGTTGAACCTCCTGATGAGTCGGTGCACCTCCGGCGAAACAATCTCTTATCATCGGTTTTTATTTTTTTGGTCTTTGAAACTTTTTTGAACTCGTACTTTTTTCTGATTTGCCTACCTTGTGTGCTTGTTCGTTGTCGGCCGTCCTATATCTCTCGTGCCTTCCAGCCCTTGTTCATTGTTTTTGTTGCCTGCCGTGTCTGCTGCTTGTGTGTTGTCTGCCCTCCCTCCTCCCCCATGCCCTCCAGCCTATGTGTAGCCTTGCTGTTTGTGGCCTGTATGTTTCGTTGTTCTCTCTTCCTTGCCTTTAGACTCGACTCCACTCAGATGTTTCCACAGGCTGATGTGCTGCATGGTTTTGACTGCGCAGAGGTGTCCGCAATATGTGTTCACACACATCATCACACACACACACACACACACACACACACACACACACACACACACATGCACACATGCGCGAACACGCATGTTTTTTTTTTCTTCTTCCCAATCAATCAATCAATCAATCAATCAATCAAGGTCAGGGGGCGGGCCGTTGGGGTGGGTGGGGTGGGGGCGGTCAGCGCAGGGTAGGTGGGGGTGATTTTTTTTTTTTTGTTCACAGTTTAGTGGCACGGGGTGGTTGGCCACGTGTCCGAATCCCCGCTGACCTGCCATCCCTCTCTGTTGGTCAGGATCCCAGCTGCCTAGGTACTGCTCCTTGCATAGAGTAGACCGGATAGACATATACTCACAGTGACTCCACTCCGTTTGGCTTAAACCACCAGTACTTCCTAGAGTCGTGCCCATTAACACGCCACAATTTTAGGAAACGTACGGGCTACTACAGGAGCGCCCAAATTCATCCAACTAGAAACGTTTCTACTCTATCTTTTTCCGCCTCCGATAGCTGGGCCAAGTACTGGTGGTTTAATAGGTGGTTCCTGGCATTGACTCTGGTTGTTCCTGGCACAAATAGGTCGGGACTCGGGAGTGGGAGGTATATTGAGTGAAGACTATAACTTAGTTAACCAAAAAAAAAGGCAAGAGCGGGAGAGGGGGAGGATGTTTTTCAACATGTACCAGTGGAGGTGGACGGCGAACAGGAGAGAAGTGTGTGTGTCCAGAACTCACCAGTCAACTTGATTCAAGTAGTGTCGTCAGGCGATGGATCATTATCGACGAGGCTAACGCCATCTACCATCCCCTCAAGGCTGATATGAAGCAGATTCTGCTCAGAATGAGGCTCGACCTCGCCAACTGCGCCCAGATATCCCTGATCATGGTACACTCCAGATCCTTCTACAGTTCGACTGGCAGAGGAACGGCGTCTATCCACAGTTGTATCGTCTTCCATCATCGCAACAGGAGCAGGAAACACCTCATCGTCTGGTGTGGAGACCCGTCGCGTCAGCCGCTCCTCTCCACTTTCACGTACTATTTCCTCGATCGACGGCCGCTGATTAGTACGTGAGGGAAGGCCATTGTGGTGTCCATCTGCTGATCGACTACTTCTAGCTGTCAGGAACTTGCTGCCTTCACCCTGACCACGCTTTACACCGTCTTGGGTAGGGGAACTCTCCTCTTCTTCCATTTCTTTGTCTGAAAACACCTCTTCAGCTATAACCTCGAAATGTGAATAAGGCCTGTTTTCACCTGTTTGCTCATCTGTCGTCATAGCTTTTGCCACATTCTGCTCATCTACATTCTGGTGGAATGTTCCCTCAACTTCATCCCCCTCTTCGCTTGACCGGGTTGACCCCAAGGCCTTTTCATCTTCATTTTCAGCGAACGCCTTCTCCGCTTCTGCATCTTCCTCTCCAGTCTCTCCCTCTTGATAATCGTTCTCGTCATCTGCACTTCCTTCTTCTTGACCGTACCTCTCACGATCTGTACTCCCTTCTTCTTGATTGCCATTCTCTTGAACCTCACCTTCATACTCTTGGTAATCACTGTTTTCATTATCTTCAGCTTCCTCTCGAGAACTATTATCTTCAGCATAGTTGGCGGTTTTTGGAAGAAGTGATGTTGCCAAATCCTCTCCCTCTTCCCAGAACTGACTGTTTGATCTTCTTCGCCGGACATTACCTACACTAGCTTCATTCCGTGCGCTCGCCCCATCAGGGCCATCGTCACCTGTGGCCTCTTCTGTATTTCCTCCCTTTTGAGAGCTCTCTCCATCCGTTTCGGAATCTACAACAACTGAGGGGAAACGCATAGATTCTGACTTAGTTATTGCGTCAGTACTTGTTGTGTCTTGTGTTCCCGGCATCAGCTGGTTACCTTTACTACTCCCTTCCTCTTTTCTCACCACAGAGGAGGTGTAGAGGTGGGTGTTCCCATCTCTGCCCCTCTCATGTTCGAACTCGATACTAATATCTTCAGTTATGGTGTCAAGAATGTAGTCCACCAACCCTCCATATTCAGGCAATTCACCATCACCATGGTCTCTACTTTCCTTTTCAAGTTGATGGAAGTTTGCACTAACATCGTTCGTTATGGACTGAAGAAGTGAGTCCAAGAGATTCTCATCTTCAGTCATTTGACTAAGTGTTTCAAGGGCTAGAGCTTGGTGCTCACCAACTGCCTTCACTTTGCGTACCATGTCTTCTCCCTCCTTCTCTTCCTCCTCTTTCTTCCCCCCATCCTCCTCCTCTTCCTCTTCTTCCTCGTTCTCCTCCCCCTCCTCCTCCTCAAGGCTTTTGGAAGTTTCGGTCGAGGCATCATCTTCCGATGCGTTGCTTTCTCCTGTTAATTGCCCAGCTCGCTCGAACTTATGTGGCCCTTGAATTGCCTTTCTCGGAGGCAGAGTAGCTGCTGCATTCTCTTGCTCCCCAACCTCTACCTTTTCCTCCTCTGTAGTTTGGCTTTCACTTCCTATGTACTCTTCAAATATGGCTTCATACATAGAATCCGTCAGCTCGCGCTGTTTTGCTAATCGACCAAGTATTCCCAACGGTTCATGTACATGTCCTGTCACGGTTTTGGCCACATCTTCATCTTCCCACTCTTTGTGCTCGGCCTCACCATCACCCTCTCCCTCCCTCTCCCCCCGCCCCTGGCCCTCATCCTCGCCTTGTCCCTGGCCCTGGCCCTTGCCTTCGCCCTCGCCCACTCCAACTTGTCCGACAACTCCTTTAAGAAGAGAGTCTGTACGGCTCGAAGCTCTGAATCTCTCCAGATCATTGTTATGGTGGTCGTCAAAATCCCCATTGTGATCGCCTTCAAGAATAGAAGCACTCATCGAACTCTGACTCCTTCCGGTTATTCTACCGCTTTCTTCCAATGCATCGTCAGCTCCACCTTGATAGGAGGTGTTCTTGTCTTCTGCAGCAGAATCCGATCTGATATTTTCAAAACCGTTCCTCTCATCTTGGATATGCCTGTCATGAGCTTCTTCTACAATAATTGGCCAAAGAAAAGAACCTGTTTCGCCCGTACTACCCTTTTTCTGCACTGCTGCCTCCTCTTCGCTCTGATCATTGGGGTCAGTCTCAACTTCAACAGGTGCTGCAATCTCTTCTAAATTGGAACTTTCCATCTGGATATACTCATCACTAGCCATGCCCAAACCTTTTCCGGTGAATTTTCCCACTCTCTTCACAATTTCCTCCTGCTCGCTCTGATTGTGGTTCGTCTCATCTTCTGCAGCAGCTGCAATCTTTGTGGAATGCTTGCCCTCACCTTGATCATACCCATCACCCACCTGTTCCACAGCTGCCTGAGGAAAATAATCGGTTACGCTCAAATCCTTCTCAGTCAATGGAGCAGTTTCAATCAGCTTTTCTTTACTTTTACTCCGCCGAGGGTTGTTCTCATCTTCTTCTGCCGCTATGATCTTTTCCAGACCGCCATCCTCACCTTGGGCATACCTCTCGCCAACTTCGTCGACAATAGACTGAAGAAACGAACCTGTTACGCTCAAACCCTTTCCGGTTAACTCACCCTTTCTCTTCACCACCTCCTCTCCGTCACTCTCATCGCGGTCTTCTTTTTCATCTTCCACAGGAGCTGCTATCTGTTCTAAACTGCTGCCCTCCACCTGAACATACTCATGGCCATGGGCTCCATCTTCACCGATTGACTGAAGAAAAGAATCAGCAAATCTCAAACCGTTTAAAATTGATAGACCCACTTCCTTCACGTCGTTCACAACCTCCTCCTCATGTGAGTCATGTGCATTTTGGTGTTGGGGTATGCTTGCATCTTCTACAACATTTGCGATCTTTTCTAAAATGTTTCCTTCTGCTGGAAAATGCCCATCTCTAGTCTCCTCTACAGCTGACTGAACAGGGGAATCGGTTGAGCCCGAATCCTGTCCATCTAATTGACTGGTTCTCCTGGGGGCTTGGCCCGATTCACCCTCATGATGAGGGTGGTTAACATCTTCTGCAACAGCTACAACGCGCTCATGATCGTTGCCCTCCTCCTTTTTCACATACTCGTTGTCTACATCGTCTACAACAGACCGAAGAAAAGAACCTGTTGCGCTCAAACCCCTTTCAGGAAATCGATCGATTATACTCACAACCTTCTCCGCCTCACTCTGATGGGACCTGCCGTCAACTTTTGCAGCACCCGGAAGTACTTCGAGATTGACACCCCCTTCTTCGACAAGGCCCAGAGATTTAGACTCATCTGCAGTAGACTTCTTCGAGATAAATCCCATGAGGCGTGAACCCTTTCCAGTCAATTGATGAACAACCCCGCTGTCGTCGCTTTCTGCAACAGCTATAACCCTTTCAACATTGCCGCTCTCTTGAACACGTTCATCGCTGACCTCTTTTGCCAATGAGTAAGGAAAGGAATCTGTTGAGGCCAAAAGCTTGGAAGTCAAGGCACCTACTTTCCTCTCATCCTCCGCACTTTCACTCTTGTCAGGTATACTCTCATATGTTGTCGCAGGTCCTGGAGAAGTTTCTTCTTCTTTGTCGCTCTTCTCCTGAACATGCCGCATTGAATTTCCCCTTTCATCTACAATGGACTGAAGAATAGATCCCGATATGCTCAAACCCTTCCCGGAAAATTGTCTACTAGATCTTATCAAAGCGTTGTCAGCTTCGGCATGGGGCGTTACCTCTTCTGCTTCTTCACCCTTGATCTTATTAGAGGTATGTTTTAAAGCATTAATATCCTCCTCTCCGTTGTGTGTGTCGGCATCCTCTGATTCCTCTCGGACGATTTCCCGGGGGAATGAACTTGTGGCGCTGAAATTTGTCGATTCACCCATTTGCCTCAGTTCTTTGTCACTTGCACTCTCTTCAAGTTCGAGGATACCTTCATCTGCTTGAGGGGTTTCATTCTGTTCTTGATTTGCCTGATCCTCTTCAACGGGTGTTTCAGCAACCTCCTCTACAATTGTTTGCAGAGACGAGCTTGAATGACTAGAATGCCTTCGCGGCGATTGGTGCGCTTGGCTCAAAGCTCTGTCGCCATGCTGGCTGCGATGAGCATAATTTTCATATTCCGCCGAAGTTGCAAAGGGAGTGCTCCTCCTCTTCTCCTCCACCTCCTTGCGAGGGCTGTTCCTGACCTCGTCAATTACGGACTCTAGAAATGAATCCCTCAAATCGTCTCGTTGCAATCGACTCATAATTTTCTCTTCCAAGGCCTCGTATCTATCCTCCTCTTCAACACTATTCATTGGAAATAGAACCCTAACCCTTCCTGGGCTTCCTCCATCATACTCATCGTCAATTTCTTCCTCGTTGCTCTCGTCGACTTCGACCGTTGACAGTGAAAATGAATCTGTCAAATATTTTCCGGTCAGTCCACCAGCGATTCTCTCCTCCAAGGCATCATAGTTATCTTTCCCAAGCTTGCTCACAAGGACGAGAGACTCTGGGCCATCATACTCCTCGTCTCCTTCGCGGTGAAACCCTCCGACTCCTTCAGATATTGTGTGCATAGAGGAGTCGTCCCCGAACTCCCCTCCTCTCAATTGACCCATAATTCTTTCCTCCAATGCATCATATCTATTCTGATCTTGCTTGGTTGGGGGAAACAACGTCCCTCCTATGTCCTGCTCCTCGTCGTCGAGTATAAGATGTTCGCTCTCTCCAACCTCATTAAATGATGTTCGAGGAAATAAATATTGGAATTCCTCATCTGGAAATCTAATCCTAGCATTTTCGTCTAAGGCATCATATTGAGTTGCATTATGCTTGTTAAAAGGAAATAAACCCCCCCTTCCTTGTTCATGTTCCCCATCCTCTTGATCAAACCTTTCCTCAAATTCTTTCGCTATCGTTTGAAAAGGTGAATCCCTCGATCCCTCTCCTGTAACTTGGTTCATAATTTTATTCTCCAAGGCATCATATCTATCCTTATCACGCCTAGTATTCACGGAGAAGAGGATCGGTTCATCCTCGAGCTCCTCATTCTCTTGACGGTGACTCACTTTGACGTCTTCAACAATCTTCTCAAAAGTTGAACTATCCCACAACTCCTCTCTTACCAATCTATCCATCAATCTCTCCTCCTCCAGGGCATCATTTTTGGCCCGATTGACTACATTTACTTCATTGACAAACAGATCCAGGTCCTTATTATTGTCCTGATCGACTTTACTTACTTTAAACAGATCCTCGTCCTCATCATCATCATCTTCATCTTCACCCGCCCCCTCTAAAAACGACTCCCTCAACTCCTCCCTCGTCAGCTGATTCATAATTCTCTCCTCCAGGGTATCATACCTATCTTGATCAAGGTCAGTTGCAGGAAACAAACTAACACTTCCTTCTCCATCATACTCCCTTTGCTGAATGTTCCCAGCCTCTTCCACTATTGCCTGAAACAACGATGATTCCCTCAAATCCTGGCTCGGGAATGGCTCCATAATAACTCCGTCCTCCAACCCCATTGACTGCTCTTCTAACTGATCTCGTGTGTGCCAATGATGCCTTGGCATATTGTCAAATCTATCTTGTTTGCTATCGTCCTCATCGAGTCGCCATAGGTCACCAATGGTTTGCTCAATCCCAAGGTCGAACGAAACAGATTTTTCCCTGCTACCTCGACCCACACTTCGTTTTGATGATGCCACTTGAATATGTAGACCACCATCATTTTTGCTCCCTTGTGAATCCTCCTCGTCGGTATTTGTCTCTCGCATGTAGAGATTGGTAATATTTGTTTCCTCACTTTCGGGCTTAAAGTTTATTGAGTGGTCTTTTAATATGGGGTGCAAACTTTCGGTGGATTGGCGTTGGTGCCGTTGGGTTGCCTTCACACCATAATCTGGCGTGGGCCCGTTCGCTCTGTCTATCTCTTCTTGCTGGGTGTCTCCCACCTCTTCAACTAATGATTGAAGAATCGAGTCAACCGAGTGCTCCACCATCGCTACTTGGGACCTGCTGCCCCCCTCCCGATAAACATTGCTCCACACACCACCTGCACGACCTTGCTCATTTTCTGCGGCCTCTTCCTGTAAATCTTCTGCATCTTTGGCATCTCCTGGGGCCTCTTCAACCACAAAGTGTGAAAACGAGTCAACGTCAAAGTGTGAAAACGAGCGTCCTAACTCCACACCATCCCCCATCAAGTTCTTCATCGTCTTGAGCGCCTCCTCTGCGTGGGGAACATTAGGAGTGTAGACTTCCTTCAAATTATCCTCGATGTGTTCGTCCCAACTTATTCTAGTCAAGTCATCTCGTTCTTCCAAATCATGTCGTTGAGCTACTACTGTCATCTCACCATACACTGTGGGAACAACCATATGTTCTTCGTTCCCTTGTTTTGCTTGACGTCTCCATTCAATCTCCTCTCTGCCGGGGTGAAGACCAGAGTTATCTTCATCATAGGGCTCATTGATTGAATCTTCTGTGTAGTACAGCTTTTGACCAGGTACAGACATCTTTCTCTCGGATCGTTCTTCATCAACCTCTTGTAGACTTCGTCCCTTTTCATCCATTGGCAATGCAATTCCTTCTTCTGTGTTCTCCTCCTCCTCCTCCTCCTCCTCCTCCTCAATCTCCGTGATCTCTTCAAAAATTTCATGAAGAACTGAGTCAATCAACACCTCCCCCATTGCTCCCTCAATTGCTTTCAACGAGTCGGACTCTTCTTTATCAAGGTCGGTTGTTTCTGAATCAGGAGCAATTGATCCAGCAATCAACCACTCATCTTTATCAAGATCAGTTGTTTCTGCACCAACTGAACGAATTCCTCCTTCATAATTATTCCCACTTCGTCCTTTTTCATCAATTGGCAATCCAATTCCTTCTTCTGTGTTCTCCTCCTCCTCCTCCTCCTCCTCCTCCTCCTCCTCCTCCGGAATCTCCGCGATCTCTTCAAAAATTCCATGAAGAACTGAGTCAATCAACACCTCCCCCATTGCTCCATCGATTGCTTTCAACGAGTTGGACTCTTCTTTATCTAGGTCGGTTGTTTCTGAATCAGGAGCAATTGAGCCAGCAATCAACCACTCATCTTTATCAAGATCAGTTGTTTCTGCACCAACTGAACAAATTCCTCCTTCATAATTATTCCCTTTTTCATCTTGAAGTTCCTCCTTCATTTTGTGACTTTCTGCAACTTCCTTCACTATTTCATCCAAAAGTGAATCACCCTCCTCCTCCTCCATTTTGTGATTTTCTGCAACCTCATCCACTATTTCATCCAAAAGTGAATCACCCTCCTCCTCCTCCATTTTGTGATTTTCTGCAACCTCATCCACTATTTCATCCAAAAGCGAATCACCAAACCCATCTCCCATCCATCCTTTCATCGGCGATCCTGTACGCGTGTCACTATTTGACTGGATTGTATCGAAATCATTCATGGAAAACACTGCTTTGTCTCTGAGAGTGTACCCTTGTCTCCTGTTCTCCTCCGCCCGCTGCTTTCCCTCCTTTTCCTCCTCCTCCTCCTCCTCTTGGTGGTGTTCCTGAGCAAACTCACTCGTTGCTTGCCAAACAAATGAATCTTGTGAATGCCCTTCGACTCCCCGTTGGCTCTTTTCTCCCTTCAGAATGTCAGCTTTGCCCTGGTCAGAATGGACTGTTGTACGGTCTTGGATAGTGCTACGCTCATTCTTTTCTTCTTCGTAAATCTCTCCAACATCTTCAGTTATCCCTTGCAACAAGCGGTCAATCAACCCCTCTACTGGTGAATGGTCCAATATTGGCAGTGTGGCAGCTTCTCCTGGTTGAAGTGTAGTCACACGAGTATTCATGGCATCTCTGAAATCCTCCCCCTCCTCCTTCGCCACATCCCTCTCCACACGCTTGTCCATTTCTGCTCCCCCAGGGCCTACGTCTTGCAAAAAGGAATCCATCAACTCCGCATCCATGTTGCTATTTTGAGCCTCAGGTTGTCCATACTCCTCTTCATCGATAATCTCCCTCAGAACCCAACCAGTGAGCTCCTCTATGGTGAACCAGTCATCGGATCCCAGGGCCTCATCATCACCTTTCTCAGTATCTTTTTCTGCAGTGATAGCGTCACCCGTCACCATTCGCACCTGAGCTGGGTTTGCGAGATTGGCATCGTCTGCCAACACGATTGCCTCAGCCACTCCGAATCGTCTATGGTCACTGTCATACGGGTGATCCTTCAACCCACCGTCTTCAATTTCAATACGCTCAATAACATTTTCCTTAGCGATCATCATATCTTCTTGCGTAGAATCAATGCGCATCTGAAAGTCATCATCGAGAGGGAGAAGACGAGAGGCGCCACGGTATTCCTTCAAATGACTTCGGTCAGGATCCCCTTCGAACCAAGAAACCTCATAATGGGCCTCTATTGGTGGGTTGGGCAATTGAATGGAACCGCCCAAGTCTCGGCCCTCGACAGATATGAAATGAGGTCCGCTTTCCGTTTCTTTCCGATGGCTTGGCCTGGTGTGCATCATGCTGTAATTTTGAGACGATGCATCATGAAACATTGCAAGGAGCTGCTCTAAGATAAGGCTGATGTCATCACCTTCATCAGCATCCAGTCGTTGGTTCGAACCTACTTGCTGCGTGGCGTCCAAACGATCCTCGACGTTTTCCTTTGTCGGCAGATCATGTTGCCTTGTCAGGACGGTCTCATTACTGAACGGCGACCATCGATTGCTGAATTTGCTGTCGTCTGGGTACATGGCAATCGAGTCTCGTACGTAAGCCTCCACCACCGATGTGAAAGGATCTGATGGTCCTCCTGAATTACCCTCTACTGGGAAGATAAAGTTCTTCTGGCTGTCGACTGACAATGTGTCCTTCCGCACACCGGGTGCGGACATGCCATTTTGATATCGATACAACTCTTGCGGTTCTGCAACGGTAACCCTTGCCTCAATCCTACCATCATCACCGTTGTGACCCAACTCCAACTCCATCTTTGTCGGCCGGTCCTCCCCGACTATATCATCATCTTCCAACATCTTCATCAAAGCCTCTTCAATTGATCTGTATCCAACGCTTTCACTATCATCCTCTGTTGCCGCAGTCAATGCTGGCTTATGTTTTGCGACTCCATATGCAGCAGAATCTGATTCTAAACTGTCGGGCGAGATCGGTGCAGATAAGTTGTGCAGCCATTCAGACATCGTGCTGTCATCGCGCAGTGATTCCGACACATGGTCATCATTCGAGAAAGACCGTTCTTTTTCAGAGAAAGGTGGGACGATCAGAGCATCACCATCACCACCCATGAACATCTCCATGCTTCCTCGTACGGTATTCTCCCCCGTCAATATGATTAGCTCCTTCTCCAAAGTTGGATGTGTTGTTCCTCTGCTCACCACCGGCCGATGATCCTGAAAATTAAAAGAGCATTGATTTCCAACCAAAACAATCATTATCACATATTACATCACCATCCATCATATTCATGAAGACTAGAGCTATTAGATTTTATAACCCCCCCCCCCCCCGCCCCCCCCTTAATATCAGACAAATCTCATTCAGCCCTGGCTCAGCAACAGTGACCACAACACATGGCCGATCATCTCGCTCTGTATCTGAACTGCTAGTTAGGTTTCTATGTCTTGAAGTCTTACTTAGGTTTCACAGCTACGTCTTGCCAGGTATTGGCGGACGATGAGGACGGGAACTGTTACTCAAACGCTCTCGCTTGTAACACTGCAGGGAGAACTGCCACAGTAAGAGAACAGCTTCTGCATAAAAGACTTACTTGTCACTTTTTCTAATTATTTTTGAAGTTGTTGTCCAAGAATTGACTATAAAAATGCAGCAGTGATGAGAGGAAGAATGAGGCAGATTATAGTAAAGGGGATCATAAAGAGGAGATGGTGTCTGTATCGTGCTATCGGCATGGAGATCTCCATTCAAACCCCTTTCCTGATTTACAACTCGCCTATTTGTGTGTGCGTGTGTGTGTGTGCGTGTGTGTGTGTACGCGCATGCGAGTGTTGTGGACCCTCACCAGAACAACCCATTTTCAAACGAGATATATGAATCACACCCGGTCATGACCAGGGGGCACTATTTGGGGCCAGCGGTCAAGATTGTGACCACGGCCGGGGCCGTGGGCGGTCAGGGTCCGGGCACGGACTTTTGGGAATGTCTCCCAGCCGCAGAAATTGGGAAAAAAAAAAGAGGTTGTAGGTTTTTTTTTATCCCTACAAGGCTACAACGGTACAACCCCATTTTTTTTCGATTTGAACTACTTTTAAGATTTTTAAAAATAAAAAATAAATAAAAAGTATTAAAAACACATTTAAAATCCAAATAAAAACCAAAAAGTTTTTTTTTTCACACACAAATTGATTGATTGATTGATTGATGAATTGAATGATTGATTGATTGACTGATTGATTGATTGATTGATTGATTGATTTAAAATAAAATAAAATAAGAATGAGGGCTTTGCCTGCGCGTAAGTGTGTGTGGGTGTGTGTGCACGTGTGTGTGTGAGAGCGCGCATGTGCACACACACACACACACACACGCGCGTGCGCGCGCGCGGGTGCAGTCCACACTTCTTTTCTTTTTCATCAATCAATAAATCCATCAGCAAATCAACCACAATCAATCAATCGATCAATCAATAAACCTTTTCTTTGTTTCTTTTATTTGAAATTTGTTTTTTCCCCCCACCAATCATGGGGTGGAGACGGGGTTGTGCAACCCCAACCTGCAATCCCCACCCCCGGAACCCCCCCCTTGTGCCGCCACATAGCCGCAAAGGCCGTGACCGGCCCGGTCATGACCGGTGGGTCCCGGTCAAGGCCGGCAGCTGCCGCGGTCGCCGGCCAAGGGGATTCATGGAACCAGATGAGTAGATCGAAAACTTCAACAGACTTAAAAACCCCAGATTCTCTCTCTTATTCCTTTCACAAATCATCACAAGCCATCCATGACGAAAAAGTATAGATGTGTGTGTGTGTGTGTGTGTGTGTGTGTGTGTGTGTGTGTGTGTGTGTGTGTGTGTGTGTGTGTGTGTGTGTGTGT